GAAACAAGTCTAGCCCACTGCTCTGATACTAATTTCTCTATCCTTTCTGATCTCATTATGAGGCCAATTTAACTGGAATTAAAAATCTTAGTTGAAGTCCATGCTCCTCAATATGAGCTATTTCCTCAGATAACGACCCGCCCCTTGTCTCTGCTCACTGCTTGTCTCTCCTGTCCATCCCATTTCATCCTTGACCACTCAGCCAACTCCAAGTCTACTCCACCTGCTTCTCAGCAGCCTGTCCATCACCTTGTATTCTTTGAGCACAAATGTCTCATTTGTGTTTCCAGATTCATCAAGGAGTTTAAGAACTCCAACAGAGCAGTTAGGGGAGAGGAAAAATGTCATCAGAATGTATTGTATGAAAAAAAATCAATTAAAAAGGAACCATAATCATTGTTCAGTGATTGAAAATGTTAATTGAACAAAAAGCTTCACAAATAAGAGGAATTTGTCCATCACTGAGCTATACCCTTTGCTCATTAATTCTTATGTTAGAATGTTTAACAGCTATATATATATTCTAAGGCTTATATAATTATAAGTAAAATGGTAATTTAAAATTCAGAATAATCAATAAATAAACACAAGTTTTCAAAAATAATGTTTCTTTGAATCTGTGCTTGGTGAATTATTTGATAATTTTCATTATTTTTAGTCAAATGAAGGGATAACCCTTCTTTGCTTCTGATATATTCTTGGCAGCTATTATTAATTTGAGTATATTTTTAAAATAATACTGACATTTACATAAAATTTTAGTATTAAAAGAAAAAATTATCTACCACTGCTCACACTCATATGTGCATACAATGTAGAACCAAGTATAAATCTAGCATATAAGATGTTTATACTCGTAATAGTGAAGGCCTATGATGACTGTTAGATACTGGCTGATGCGTTCTGCGTCACGAGATAAAAAGTGAGATGTTGGGGTTAAGGGTGAATGTCATGACTTAAAGTAATCTGTCTGGGTGTGATATTTAATCTTGATTGTCAGCTTATCTGAATTTAAGGAAATACATCTCTGGTTGCGCCTATGAATATGTTTTTAGAAAGGTTTGACTGAAGTGAGAAGAACCACCCTGACTACTAATGGCACCGTTCCAATGGCTGAGCTCCCAGAGTGAATGAACAAGGAGAAAGCAGTGAGATAACAGCATTTATCCACTTCCTGGTTACAGGTGCACTGAGGTCAACTTCCTGTTTCCATGCTTCCCAGACAGGATTGGGTCTTCACACTGTGGCTAAAACAAAACCTTCCTCTCCTTAGGTTGTTTTGGTCAGATAGTTATGAGAAAAGTAACTAACACGGTCCCTTCCAGACGGTGAGCTGCTACCTCCCTGTCCTTATACCATTAAATAAGTGGGAGCAGGATGTTTACTGAGTGGCAGACTGGCATCTGCTGGAGGCCTACTGTGGTAAGGAAAACGTCATGCCTCTCAGTTATGGGGAAGAGAAGGCAGCTTATTCAGCCCAATCTGCAAGGGTATCACAAGGGCACAGTGCCCTAGTTCCTGTTTGGGGTGAAGTTTAGTTTTCAAAAGTGCTTAAACTAAATCAACATACTCTGCAACGAGACAAAAGTTAAGTGTTTAGTATCTTTTAGAAGGAATTTAATCAATGGGTAAGTGTCAGCCAGCTACAAAGTCATGTAAATGAAAATCTTTCCAGAATTCCACATGCACAAGGTAAACTTTACAGGGTAGATTTTTCTCTCATATATATTGTGCTTGTTTTTTCTCAAAGTTATTCAGAGTGTTTCTTTCTTCAAAAGTATCATCTAGTGACTAAAGGTATAACAAAATGCTTATGATTTAAATTTCATTTTTATTTATTAGTTTTGATGTTTCAAAGATATTTACTTTGGGGTGTAGGGCTATATTGCAGATTTCTAGCATTTATTTAAGTTGAATATGGTGTGGCATGCTTGTGAGTCCAGCACACCGGATGCTGACGTCTGAGGGCTGTCATCTGAGGCTAGCCTAAGGAGGTCAAGAGCAACACAGAAAATCCTGTCAGAAATGGAATGGGACAGGGTCTCCTGAGGGGATTGGGAGCTTGGGGGGAGGACAGGGGAGAGAGAGCTGAGAGAAAGCGGGAGAAGAGGAGGACATGGGAAAGCAGGAAGGTTGAGTCGGGGGAAGAATAGAGGAGAGCAGGATGAGAGATACCATAATAGAAGGAGTCATTATAGGTTTGAGGAGAGATCTGGCACTAGTGAGATTTCCAGAGATCTACAAGGATGACACCAATTGGCATTGAAGCTACATTAAATGCCCTCCCCTGATAATGAGATTGGTGACTATCTTATAAGCCATCCTAGAGCCTTCATCCTGTGGCTGATGGAAGCACAGGCAGACACCCACAGCTAAACACTGAACTGAACTCCTGGATCCCAATTGCAGAGGGAGAGAGGAGTGATGAGCAAAGGAGTCAAGCCCCACCTGGTGAAACCCACAGAGTTAGCTGACCCGAACAAGGGGGAGCTCATGGACCCCAGACTGGTGACTGAGAGGCCAGCATGGGACTGATCCAGAACCCCTGAACGTGGGTGTCAGTGAGGAGGCCTCTGCAGTCTATTGGGCCTTGGATAGTAGATCAGTATTTTTCCCTGGCATACAAATGGCTTTTGGGAGCCATTCCACATGGAGGGTTGCTCTCTCAGCTTGGACACATAGGTGAGGGTCTAGGCCCTGCTGGGGATGATATGATAGACTTTGAAGATACCCCATGGAAGGCCTCACCCTCCCTGGGGAGTGGAGGAGGGATAGGTTGGGAGGCTGGGGGGGGGTTGATGGGTGGCGGGGGGGGGGGAGGGAGTTGGGATTGACATGTGAAGCAAGCGTGTTTCTAATTTAAATAAAAAATGCAAAAAAAAGAAAATAGAAGTCTCATCATTGAAAGAATGAATCCTGTCAGAGTACGACAGCTAGGTATCCTTTTGCTTTTCCATGGCAAAATTAAAATATTTAGTCATTTTTTTTTGGTTCAAGATATATCCGCAAATCAATAAAACAGCTTGTAATCAGAGGGACACTTTCAAGTCAGTTCTCAATTATCAATAATGACAAATGGTGTATTTTAATAAAAGTAAACTTCCAAACTATTAAACCTTTCCCTTTACACTTTGCATTTGCCTGTACCAGCCAGCTCCCAAATCATGACACAGAGACTTAGTATTAGTTATGAATGCTTGGCCTGGCTGGCTCTTTTAAATTAACCTGTTTCTCTTTATCTACCCTTTGCTTCGTTTTTTTTCCTTCCTCCTTTCTTTCCTTCTGTATATATTACTCTCACTGCTTCTTGTGTCCGCTGGCTGGTGGCTACCTGGCTTCTTACCCCGGGTCTGTCCCTCATTCTTTCCTCCTTTTTGAACCTATTTATTCTCTCTGCCTGCCAGCCCTGCCTATCCTTTCTCTGCCGAGATTTTGGCCATTCAGCTCTTTATTAGACTAATCAGGTGTCTCAGGCAGGCAAAGTGAAACAAATGCAACACATCTTTACATAATTAAATACATTCAGCATAAACACCTTTACACAGTTAAAGTAATATTCTGCAGCATAAACAAATGTAACACAACTTTGCCCAGTTAAAATAATATTCCACAAAAAATTGTCATTGTTTTTCATCTTCCCACTGCTGGTGAGTATTTGGGAAACATCTGTTGAAGACAGGAGGGTGGTCTGACTATGATCCTCAGGGTTCATCTGGTTAACCTGGCTGCCTAGCCAGGCATTCCTTTCCACACCTGCGCCATGGGTGTCCTGAAGCCTTCTACTCAGTTAAAAGCACTACCTTTCCGGACAGAGAAGGGCTGGCTGTTCCTTCAATGAGCTACAGGTACTTGTGCTAGCCACTAGAACTTCCAAATCAGCTATCAAGAAAACAACCATTTGGTTGAATATTTGTATAAATGGGATTTATTTGAAACTCTTCTTACAATCAATACACAACGTATTAAAGCCTAGGGAAATTCAAAATGAAACTTACAGGACACCTTTGCTACAAGAAATCCAAAGTACGGCATAAAAGCCATGCTATTAAAACCCCAGAGTAAGATACTGACAAAAACAATATCAAAACAATTTGTGGTTAGAGTCATGCACAAAAACACCTCTGAGTGCCGGGCGTTGGTGGCGCACGCCTTTAATCCCAGCACTCGGGAGGCAGAGGCAGGCGGATCTCTGTGAGTTCGAGGCCAGCCTGGTCTACAGAGCGAGTGCCAGGACAGCCTCCAAAACTACACAGAGAAACCCTGTCTCGAAAAAAAACCAAAAAAAAAAAAAAAAAGACAAAAAAAAAAAAAAAAAAAACACCTCTGAGTTAATGGATGAGCCAGAAATATTCTCAGGATTTTCTGGTTCTGTTTGATCAATAATATTCTATTTTTTTTCATTTTTAAAAGATTTTCTTCAAAGTATAAAATACACCTAGCAAAATGTCCTAGTTTATGTGAACTTAGCTTTACTGTGTCACCCCAACAACCTGAGCTATTTGTTACACATACACTATGAAACAGTTGACAGAGCAACACACGAGGCAGTGTTTCACCTGTGATGGGTCGAGTGTCAGATCACTCTCATCTCATGGTGCTGGTCCAGTTCCTACAGTTTCACCCTTGTCTAGTGTAACACCCTCCCTGGCTGTGGCAGCTAGTATTTCCTGCATGTTCCTATTTAGGCTTGCAGTTTGCTGTACCACGGAAACAATACTACTGGTCTACAACACCAACATCTAGAGCCACAAAGAATATCTGCCTCCCAAGTGGAAACAATGTGGTTGCTGTGGTTGCCTACAACACAACCATGCTTTTAGAGATCATAACAGAATGATCAAAAGAAGCTACACAAGAAGAAAAAGGGAAACACCTCTGAGAAGGGGTAGAAGCCAGGAGCTCCCAAAGTTTGCAAATGGTTTATCACAGGCTATGAAACAGTCTGGAACAGTAACACACTAGGCAGTGCTTACCCTGTAACGAGACCGTTTATGCTTTACCTTTATTTCATGGTGCTGGTCCGGCCTATCCGGGTCCATGGTGCTCATTCCATTTTCCTTCTCTTGTAGCTCAGCTTCCATTCCTGGCCCTCCTCCTTTGGGGGGAAGCCCTAAGTCAGCACCTGGAGTCCTGCTGTCAGAGGCATCTTCCTCATGGCTATTGGTTATGGATGATACAGAATCTGTCGTAGTTTCATTTCTTTCTCCATTCACCAAGTGTGTATCGAAAGAAGCCACAGCAGTTTGAATAGAAGTCTCTTTCTCATCTTCACATTCCATCTGGTTTTGTGCTGCCACCACACCATTGGCTGAACAACCCTGTTGGCCTTGAGTCTGATCTGTATCATTTTCCTGCTTCTGTGGAGAGTGCTGGGTTAGGAATTTCCGGGGAGGTGAGGAGGTCAATCCATGCTGTCCTGCAGTTTGAGGAATATTTAGGCTCACGGTAGAATCTTTTTTCAAATCAACGTAACTTGACAAAACACTGTAAGATAAAATATAAAAAGAAACATTGGTATGAAACGTTTTGGAATGAAGATAAGCCAATTACAGGTGTAAACAGATCACTTCTATTCATGACGGTTTTGGAAACACAGATTCTTGGGACATGAGCCACATTTAAACAAGCAGCTATATAGAAAGGGGGAAGGCTGGAGATGGCCAGCTGTCAATGGCTGGGCTCACAACCAAAAGCGGACTGGATGAACCTGAGCATTGATTTCTTGGTTGGAGAGTTCCCATGCGCTGTATACTAATACAACTTATTCAGGAAAGATAGAGAAGAGAGCATACTTGTTTAATGAGATTACCTTTCCCCAAGATCTTTACTAATAATTTCTTCAAAGAAGCATAGGCATTCCTGGTTTATAAACTGGCTATAAAACCAAGTTAGTTTGACTTGGAAAGTAGAAATATTTTTAAAAATGTATTATACATAATAAATAGTGGTAGCTTCCAACTGATTCCCAATGGTTTTCTTTAATTTTTCTCTTGATCTCTCCAATCTAGTGCTCACAAACCAGAGCCTTATACATGCAAGAGTTCACTAATGTCACCATGACATCTGCAAGGCTCTGCCTTCTCCAGCTCCCACATCCCCCATTTCCTGGGACTGTCTTTCCCCTTACTGTGGTCTTGCCACACTTCCGAAGTTCTCCATTTGTGTGCCTGTTAGGGTAAATAGCCCTGCGTCTCTGCCCAGCCAGTCTTCCCCAGGACACAGGTAGAGTGCACTCCTCCCTCTGTCACCCAGGTCTTTGAGAAGCTTTGCCTGGTTGGTCTATCTGAGCAGCACACTCCACCACTTTCTCTAATCTTCTTTTAGTCATCTTTAAAGCCCTTATTACTGTTCATATCCTATGCAATCTTGATAGTACTAAGTGGACAATAGAACCTCTCTCAATACATAGTTATGTTTCCATGTAAATATTTGTATAGAATTTTAATCTATAATTTAAATTGGGGAGGGAACATAGACTCAAAGCTGTAGGCACAATTTCTATGACATAAATAAAAAGAAATTAAAATAGACTTTTATGAGCCCGAAGATTGTCTTGTTCCCAACTTTATTCTTACAATTTAACTTGACGTGTGGAGGGTTTAACAAATGTCTAACAGATTATGAATTACTGTGACGATCCTGTGACAATTACACAGCATTTACGAAGCACCCACTAAGTGCCTCAAACTATGCCAAGTTTTTTGCGGAGGTTATTGGCTTTTACCCTTACAATAATTCCTAAAGTAGAAGCCCATAAACAGAGAAATCTATACCCGGGAAGATTCTGTCCTACAGCCAATGTCACTTGGTTAGCACGTAACAAAGCCAGAAATCAAGCTATGAAGTCCACCTCTAAATCTCGCCACATTTGCCCCATGCTATGAGGAAACCTTTCAGACGGACCGAGGAGCAGGTGGATAAGCTGCCAACAAGAAGCAGGGACAAAATCTAAGACTGATTGCTGTCTTCAGTCAGGTACAAGTCTGGGTGACGGGGTAGGCAGGGCAGGGCACTTTAGAAGGAGCTGAGATGAGCACTGTCACCCATCTTCATCCTACCCCGCCCTGCCACCCTGTTACTGCTGCTGTGGACTGGAGTGGAAAAACAGAACAGTGATAGTTAGCAACAAGGGAAGGGAGGAAAAGGTCCAAGTTCAACCCCAGCCACAGTAAGAAGAGAAGGGAAAAAAATCTCAGAAGGATAAAAGTTTATACATAAAACTTGGAAGTGGCCAGTATAAATAAGTGTGACACATTCTGCTGTTATTTGCCTTCTATACATAGTTTACATTGAGCCTGGATAATTTATTAAAAAAAGAAAATCCTCAGAGAAGAGCCAGTTGTCCGCTTTCTGTAGTTCTTCTAAAGGAATGCCATGGAAAACAGCCAGCAGTTTACTATAGCACGTGACACCGAAGGTACATTTGCATCAAGCGCAATAAACTGGAGGCAGAAAAGCAGTAGTTAAACCAGTTCTCAGGAGATTCTGCAGCCTGTGGAAGCCAAGCAACTGTGTGTGGGGGTGGGGTGGGGGTGGGGTTTACCGTGAGGGGGTGGAGTTTACCATGTGGTGTGCTTGGGAAAGGCCAGTGCTCTTGTCTGTGGGAACATGTTATTTTTAAAATCGTGAAGTTTTTCTAAGCTAAAAAAAGAGTATTTTTTTTCTTATTCCAGGAGAAAGAAAAATGTGAGAAAAGGGAAGCCACAGTAAAAAACAAGATAAAATAAGATCTGCTGGTTCCAAATCATTCTACTTAACAGACTGGTACTACTTTCATCCAAGTGAAACTAAGACACTCAGATGGTCCTTTGAAAAGCATTTATCATTGGTGTGTGTGTGTGTGTGCGCGCGCGCATGTGCGTGCGCGTGCTCGAGAGAGAGAGAGAGAGAGAGAGAGAGAGAGAGAGAGAGAGAGAGAGAGAGAGAGAGAGAGAGAGAGAGAGAGAGAGAGAGAGAGCGAGCATGGGCTATAGAGCACTGTGGAGGTCAGGGAACAACTTTTGGGAATCAGTTTTCTCTTTCTAGCCTGAGTTTAGTTAGGGATTGAACTCAGGTGGTCAGGTATGTGTGGCAAGCACTTCTCTTGCTCACTGCTCTTTATCTGCTGTCTGGAATAGCAGTGTTATATGACCCTCCAAAACCCTCCTGGCTTATGTCCGTGGTCACTTAGAACTCAGTGGCCTCCTTTTGTGCTACAAAACAGTAGGCTGTGACAACAGGGATCAAAACAGAAAACCAGCTTGAGACATTGTCTAACAGTAAAGTCAATGCAGTATTAGCCACTTTGCAGACCCTCTGAGGGCCGGCTGGTGTGGGGACATGACAGCTGTCTTAACCTGATGACACTGTGATTTTGCCTGCCTAGAAATGAACTGCTCAATCCTAGTCATTACAGCGTTGTAGACCTGGATGATAATTTACACAGGTCCCCTGTGATGACTGAAGAGACTTAATTTGGAGCAGGGCATATGGGCTGTTGACCTTTGGTTCTGGAATGCCTAGTGGCCTCCAGGTGAAATAATAATAGGATAATGCCAGAACTTGGGAGGCAGCAGCAGGTGGATCTCTGTTAAGTTTGAGGCCAGCCTGGTCTACGGAGCTAGTTCCAGGGAAGTCAAGACTATATCAAGAAACTGTCTCAAAAAAAGAAATAATAGGATAATGGTCTGTGAGTATTAATAGCTGCCTTTGCTCCTATAAAACTTACCATGGCCTTGGAAAAGTGAGAAAATGCTCTTTTTATTACTATATATTGGGAAAAAAGTAACAATTGAGGGAAGTGAAGCCATGTTCCTGCCTGGCTGTGGATTCCATGGGTACTTGTAATACACATCTTTCTGATGTCTGCCTTAAAAACCCCACCTTCACCCCACTTCCAAATGGTTAGCTGCCTTGGCTCTAAGGCTGCTGTCCTGCTATCAGTAAGAGTAAGTTAGCTTCATTTAAATTTGAACTGAGTCTGAGTCTTTGTTTTTTCCAGTGGATTTGAATGCCACAACGCTGGCACTGCCTGTATGACAGCAGACCCTTTTGCTACTTGAATGGATCCCACCACAAGCAGAAGAACCCAGCAAAGCCTTGCCCACACATGAACATTATTTCTTACGTATGCTCAGAACCATGGATTATAGCAATCCTTCCTTACATACAGAACAGAAACTGTACAGTTTACTTGGAGAGACATTCAAATAATGCAAAGAATAGTCACAGAACTGATTTGAGTTAGAAACCTCAACCTTAGGAATGCTGATGCTTTGAGGTTCATTCCAGGCTCAGGCTCCAGCACATCTTATATTCTGCAGTCACTGTGGGGGCTGCAGAATCTGTAAACGGGAAGGCCCTCTGCTCTGGTTTTGAATCAATCCTCTCTGAGAGGAAAAAACACTGACCGGAATTTAATCATTCCTTTAAACATTGCTGCAATCTCTGCTATCCAAAGCATTAAAAATTCCCTTTGGACGTATTGGAGGGTTTAAAAGAGATACCACAACTGCTCAAGAATGAAACCTGAAGACAGGCTTTTAATCAATTTTCTCCAGAAGTTGTAACTGTTACACTGAGCATAATATTTTGTAAATACATTACATTTTAGTTTCTTCTTTTGTTTTTCTGAGAGTCTTGGAATGGGGCCCAGGCTCACCTCAAACCCTCAATCCCTGCTTCTGCCCCCCCCACTGCTGTGATTATAGGCTTGTGCCCTCAGCTGACTTATGCTTAAAATTTAAATTTTGAATGAAAGACACTGTAATTTTGTGCTTGCTCATGCTTCCCAGGACATCCCCCAAATATTCCTGAACTATAACGTCAATACACACACACACACACACACACACACACACACAGAGGTTCATGTAATAGTGTACAGGAAACACCCATACATATAAAATAGTAAAATAGAAAAAAATTTTAAAAATGATTCATGTAATGGGAAATTATCTCTCAATGTTATACTTAAATGAGTGAAAATATTTGACTTTATGTAAGTGAAATTATATATATTGTTTAGATTTCTAATGATATAAACAATTCTAAGACAAAACAATTTAGGTAGTACAAGTAGAAAAATAACTTACATGGATTTGGTTTTTATTTTTACATGAGAAAAACTCATTTTGCCCACACATTAGAACTAAAGAATATAAAGTTCTCTCTCTGAGAATGAAATGGTGTTGAGCATGAGTTTTGTGTTTAGTAATGACATCGCTCTGTAACACCACGAGGTGACAATAGGAAGAGGGAAGCAGACTGCATAGGTAATGCAGCCTCTCATCCAATGAAATGGGTCAGCAAGCCTAGAGAGGGCCTAGGAAGTCAAGAATCCACAGGAGTCAGGTCCTCAGAGAGAGTGAGGACAGTGGAGTCAGAGATGACACGGTGGCCTTACCATCAAGCTTGTAGAACAGCATGCCACATCAGTAATCAGAATGACACAGGAAATGAGAAACGGTAAGTTTTTAATGCTGACTAGGGTAAGATCACATAAATGATTTTTGAAATGTACTTGTTAAAGGCGGGAAACTTAGTAAGCTACTAAGGCCATCTGTTCTTCCCCACCCTCTCCCATTACATGGTGGCTCTTACCTGCTTCCTTCAAAGTGGCTGATGAGATCTGACACCTTACCAGGCTTCCCTTTTGAGGCACATGAAGTAGGGGCCGGATTAGCTTCCTCCATCCTCGGTTTTGCACTCGGTAAAGCTTTATGCCTGGGGATCTGGGGTGTGTGGGATGAAGGTGAATTCTGCAGGTATAATGGCTTTGGAGGCACTGTAGAAAAAGGAGAGTGTTCAATAGTAACAGTGAAGATTCTGGCATCCTGGGTAGATGCAAAAATCTTCAGCATTAGTAAGCTACTATAAAGGGGCCTGTCAAACTGGGACTGACCTAACCAAGGAGAACTTTATTTAGACTTTATTTAGCCTGTAGTATTTCTCCATATCTCACTGAAATTATGTAATTATATATGTATCATTATAAGCATATATATATATATATATATATATTTGTGACACACACACACTCACTAACTCAGATAACACCTATATAAGACTACAGCATTCTAAACGTTCTTATGTGACAGACATAAGATCAGTTATTTGTTCAAACAGAGAAAAGGTGATATATTATAAACTAAGTGCTAGAAATGTACTGTTTTTTACAATGTCCATCAATCCAGCTCTACAGAAGGCACTAGAAGGAAATCTTCAGCCCGAAGAATGATAACTACACCAAAGAGGACACACACACAAAATAATATCAGAACATTTAATCAAAAGACAGGGAAAACTCTCACACCATCAAAACAATAGAAATTAATAAACACTACCCATTAATAACTCAATCTAATGGTCATAATTCCCAACTAAAAAGCCACAGACAAACAGACTAGATTAGAAAAGCATCTGTCTTTCTGCAGCACCTGAGAAACATACTTCCCCATCAAGGACAGACATTGCTTTAGGGTACAAGGATGAAAAATGTATTCCAAGAAATGGACCCAAGAAGCAAGCAGGCATAGCTATTGTAATATCTGACAAAATAAGAGTTCAGACCAAGACTAATCAGAAGAGACAGGGAAGGGAACTACATACTCATTTAAAAAATCCACTAAGAGGATATAATTCTAAACATTTATGCACCCAACTAAAGGATACCCAAGTTCATAAAAGGAACAGTATTTTAATTAAAATCTCATTAAAATTTGACCCTCACACAGTGATAGTGGGATACTTCAATACTCCATTCTTCCCATTAGACAGGTAATCCAGATGAAAATTAAACAGAGAAACCCTAGAGTCAAAGGCAGCTAACAGAAACCTACAGAGCATTCAATGCAAATACTAAAGAAACACATTTTCTCTTCTAAAGCCCATTGAGCTTTCTCCAAAATTGACCATAGGACTTAAAGCAACTCTTGATCTTAAAACAAAATTAAAACAACACCCTATATCCTGATACCATAGATTATAGCTGTTTATCAACAACAGAAAGACTATAAACTCTTGGAAGCTGAACACCTCACTACTGAGTGAAAATTAGGTCAAGACAGAAATCAAGAAGAAAATTAAAAACTTTTTAGGTGAGTGAAAATGAAAATACACCCAAAACTATGGGACACAAAGAAAGCAGTTCTAAGAGGCAACATCATAGTGCTCACATAACACACACACACACACACACACACACACACACGCACGCACGCACGCACGCACGCGCACACACACTCTGAAGCTATCTCATTGTTAAAAACTAAATGATATACTTGAAAGCTTAGAAACACGGAAAGAAATGCCAGCCCAAAAAAGCAGATGGGAATAATTAACTCAAGGCTAAAACCAATTAAGGAAAAAAAAAAAAAAAAGGCAGTACTAGGAATCAATGAAAGAAAGAATTGGTTCTTTGAGACAATAAATAAGATAGACAAACATTTAGGCAAATTAAGGAAAATATAGAAAAAGCATATTCAAACTACTAAAAATAGATATTACAACAGACATCATGAAAATTCAGAGAATACTAAGATATTTTTAAAAATCCACATTTTTTCAAACTGGAAAACCTAAAATAAATAGGTGAATTTTTTGATATATGTGACCTACCAAAGATAAATCAAGATCAGATAAGCAATTTAAACAGACCCATAACCCTGAGTTAAATAGAAGCATCAAATAAAAATATGGAAGATAAAAGGCCCAGGGCCAGAATATTAAGTGCAGAATTCTACCACACCTTCAAAGAAGAATTAACGCGGCTACTGCAAAATAGAAATGAAAGGAACATTGCTCAATTCTTTTTATCAAGCCAATATTACCGTGATACCAAAACCATGGAAAGATCTAACAAAAACTGAAAATTATAGACCAATATCCCTTATGGACACACACATTAAAATTCTCAATAAAATACCTACAAATGAAATCCAAGAACACATCAAAAAAGATTATCCACCCTGACCAAGTTGGCTTCAACCCAGAGACGCAGGATGGTTTAACAAATGTAAGTATGTAAATCAGTAAATGTAATACGGCAAATAAACAGACTAAAAGATGAAAAACAAACTGTCATCTGAGATACAGAAAAGACCTTTGACAAAATCTAACATCCCCGGAATTGGCAATAGGGTGGGAGGATGGGGGGGATGTTGGGGGGGCGCGGGAGGAGGGGAGGGAGAGGGAACTGGGATTGACATGTAAAACAAGCTATTTAAAATAAAATAAAAGTCCTGGAATGACTAAGGATACAAGGGACATACTTTAAAATAATACAAGCAATTTAGAGAGAGCCCACAGCAAACATTATCCAATATGTAAAGTCAAAACAATTCAACTACAATCAGGAAAGACAGTGTGAGTGAAGTCTACTTTCTATATAACTATTAAATATTGTCTTAACTAGAGAGGTAAGACAACTGAAGGAGATCAAAGAGACCAAATAGGAAAAAAAGAACTCAACATTTTATTTTTTGCATATGACATGATTTTACACATAAAACACGCTAGACTCCACCAAGAAACTTCTACAGCTAATAAACACTTTCAGAAAAATAGCAGGATATAGGATTAACACACAAAACTCAGCAGCCTTCCAAATACATGACAAACATATGAGAAAAAAAATCAGAAAAATAGTACATTTCAAAGTAGCCTCAGAAAATATCACAAGGTAATTGTAATCAAGCATCATAAAAACATTAATGCATTGAAGAAAGAAATTTAAGACACTAGAAAGTGGAAAGATCTCCCATGCTTATGGATCAGTAGGATTAATATTGTGAAAATCACCATCCTGATAGTAACAATTTACAGATTCAATGTGATGCCCATCAAAATTCTCACACAATTTTTCACAGAAACTGAAAAAACAATATTAAATTTCTTATGGAAACACACACATACACACACCACACCACACCAAACAAAGCTAAAATAAACAAATACAAGCAAACAAAAATAGCGTAGCTAAAACAATCCTGAATAATAAAAAAATTTTTGGAAGTATCACCATCTCAGATCTCAAGCTGTAAAACTGAGTTATAGTAATAAAAACAGCCTGGCATTGGCATGAAAACAGACACATTGATTAATGGAATAGAACTAAAGACCAATTTAATTTCGCACAGCTGATTTTTTTCAAGGAAGCAAAAAATACACACTGGAGAAAAGACAGAATCTATAACAAATGATGCTGGTCAAACTAGATACCTTCATGCAGAAGAACAAAAATCAATGTACATCTATAATCCTGCACAAAATCAACTCCAAACAAATTACCAACTTCAATATAAGACCAGATACCCTGAATCTGAGAGATGAAAAATGTAGGGAACAGTCTTGAAGTCATCAAGATATGAAAGGACTTTCAGAACAGGATATTGATTGCACAGGCATTAAAACCAACAGTTAATAGCCAGATCTCATAAAGTTAAAACCCTTCTCTACATCAAAGAACACCATCAGTGAATCAAAGCAGCAGCCTACAGAACGGGGGTAAAAGCTTTACCAATATTACATATGATAGAAGGTTAGCATCTAAACTAGACAAAGAATTCAAAACTGGAACATCAAGAAAGCAAATATCTTAATTTAAAAATGGGACATAGAAGTAAATAGGTCTCAAAAGAAGAAACAGAAATGGCCAAGAAACACTATCTTTGGCCCCTGAGAAAGTGAAGATTAAAACTACTCTTAAATTTCATGTTATACCAGCGAGAATGACCAGGATCAAGAAAACAAATGACAGTGAGGATGTGGGGGAAGGGGAGTTGGTGGCAGTGCAAACTGGTCTGGCCATTATGGAGATCATGTAGAGGTTCTTCAAAAAACTGAAACTCTATCTACCCCAACATTCAGTTACACCACTCTTGGGCATATACCCAAGGGACTCTACATCCTACTACAGACATACTTTCTCCCATGTTCATTCCTGCCTTTTTTCCAATAGCTAGAAATTGGAAAAACAGCCTAGATGTTCACCAGCTGTTGACTGGATAAGTGTGGTACATTTACATAATCAAATATTATTCAGGTCTTTAGAAAAATAAAGTTCTGAATGGTAAGTGGATGGGGCTAGAAAAAAACCATACTGAGTGAGGTAACCCAGAATAAACAGATAAATATTGCATGTTTTTTCTTATATGTTGATGTTTTAAGTTTTGGATATGTGTGTTTCAATCAAAATAACCACAGAGCATAGACAGTAATAAGGAACCAGTGGAGATAAAAGGATCTTACAGGGAAGGAGCAGAATGTAGTGTTATAAAATGGAGATAAAGTGGAAACTAGAGTAGGAGGAATAAACAGGGCAGGGTAAAAAGGGATATGGGGAGATGGGAAGGAACAATTAACGCTAGTGGGCTTTTGAAAAGCCACAGAGAAACCGTATATATGAATTTTAAATTGTAACGTAAGGCCATCGCCATATAATAGGGGAGACGATGCCCCAACTAGACATCATATGCCATTGAGTCAAACCTCCAGTGCCAAGACTGGATTACATCTTGTTGCATTACTGACCAGCAAGGTCCCATAGGCCTCCAAACATCACAGGCTATTTCCAAGGCTGCTGATGGTTGGTTATTTTCCATAGACCGAGGGTAGCTGGATATACATGTGTCTTTGTATGACTAACTTAGCCTTAAATGGGACATTATTATCAAACCCATTCCTTCAAAGCTTGGGGATCTATGTAGAAGAAGGAGTACAAAGTTTGAGACAGAGATTGTAGACGACTCCAAGGAAACAGCATCTTCCAGACACAACAGACACACA